ATAATCCCCAACTAAAATGGGAGCTTTATTCTGGATGGCTCTCTGTTGATTTGGCTGAGGTAGTTGATTGTGCACTTGACCCTGAGCCTCAATCTGTGGTTGATTCTGGTTATCAGCCATTCTCCTTACTTAACGTTGTCCTCGTCTGCAATTTCTGAATATCCTTTCAATTTCGTAATCTATTAGAGCAAGATCAACTTCGTCAAAGGCTTGCATAAACCAAATTTGCCTGAAACGAATCTAAAATATCAATAACTAGAATTAACACTGTTTTCCCCGACAACGGCCCCAAAAACTTATTACGTGAAAATTCCACAAGCGTACGGGTTCGTTGTACAAGTAATAATTATGATGAGTGAGTTATCGTCCCACAGGGAATAATGNGGTGAGTGAGTTATCGTCCCACAGGAAATAAGGCTCAATTTTAGAGTATTCGATATATTTAAATTCGCAAATGTATCAAAAGATGGTTGATTTTTAGTTAACTACGTTCTATACCTACGGAAGCAATAAAAATTCGAGTGTCTTGGATTACCGACTCCACTATTCAACTCTTAGTTTCAATTCTCAACCAGTGATATCAATTCAATTCATGCAATTGTGACGATCGATAATTCCACTTTTATTTACCATTCTTTCCCAATATATAATAAACCTATGATTGCCACAAGACAATCCTATTCCTAGTCCGAATTCATATGACAACCATGTATTGACATTTAGGATTATCATACATGATCGCACACGCTATAAATATTATTCCTAATATTTATTGTATGTATGTTCCATAAACAGTGTTCTACCTACCATTAGTTTTTCAACACTACGAATAAGCAACTAATTGTCCTAATGTTGCGCAAACATTAAAACAATACATTCATGCATATTTATGAAATCACAACACAAGAATTAAACTAAAAAAATCAAATAGTTTTGTCATCCATCCAATACAAGAGAATTTAACCTAGCATATTATCGAGATTAAACACAAAGAAGTGGAATGACATCACCTATAAATTGACGGTTATTAATTCCCAAAGTCACGTTCCTGGGCGTATCTTCCCAAGGCAGTCGGTCTCTTTTACTGTGCTTTTACAGCCGAAATATTTATGTGTCTTCTCTTCTGTGAGTATGCGTGTGCGTATCTATTTC